TCATATATATATATATATATATATATATATATATATATGCTTATTTATCGTCCTTATTTTCAGAGTGGTAAAACAAATTGCAGCCCTATAAGTATTTACTCAATTTTATGGCACAAGGCGTAGCAGATTTGCAAAACAGAATTTTGTAAACTGAATCCGCTCTTCAGTCCCTGGAAACAATGCATTATCTCATACTTGCACTTATCTCAATTCCAGGAACGCAACACGACATTTTTCGTTCCCTGACAAGATCTACGTTTCTGGTTTTCATTAATATTCTTTTATAGTACAACACGCATAAGCAAGAAGTTTTGGTCCGCAGCGTTTAATAGCGTAGAAAATTCCTTGGATCCCGATAAACTGTGGATTTTGCCAAATTCTGTGTCTATTTCCTATAAATATACTGAGCAGAAATGAAATATTTTCTAGTAAATAGTATGTTCTGCCTCGAGTTAATTGGACGAATAAAATAAACAAACTCAAACCGTGCGCCAGCTGTCCTTGTGTTTATGTCGGCCACACAGGCTGACGTCTTGAGACTCTCATCAAGGAACATGGGTTGGCCGTTCGCCGACGGGACCCTTTATCACTCGTATTTGCGCACTCCCTCCGAGTGTCGCATACAAGCGTAGGAGTGTGGCTGTGAAGACTGAAGAGATGACAAGCGTCGTGAACTTTCGGCCAAACACGCTCTCCGGTGTAGTGAACTGTTGGAGCCGAATAAACGTCAGTAACTGTCGTCCCGAACTCACGTCTAACAGGTGCTTCACGTTGATGAAGGACTTCTTTATAATAAGATTGGGAAAGCCTTAAATTTGCGACAGTGGAAGGAAGCTTTTCACGTGTATCACGAAAATATGCTGACATAAAAACGTCTACAGCGCTACTGCAAGGGAAAATAACGGAAAATAACTGTGCAATAGAAAACACATATCTGAGGATTGTTTTCAGCAGCTAAACCCCTTTTGCTTGTTTCTACTATTCCAGCTCATGTCCTCTGCAGCGACCAGAACAGACGTAAATTTGGTGCGTGAAAAAAGGCGCCATAAACCATGAACCGAAGCGTGTTTCCGGGTCAGCAATCAAACATTCCAGGTGGGTAAGGGAGGCATTAGAAACCCCCGTTAGCCGCGTCTACAGGCGAACGGTTTGAGCGTGTCATTCTGGCCGTTGGACAGAGCTCTCACCAGTAAGCAGAGGTCAACTTTTTCCCCCGAGAACGCATTTTTTTCTCCTGATTAAACAGACTGCCTAAAAAGCCTTCAGGAAATAAACGTAGGTAAGAAGCGAGAATGAAGGCAGAGGCCGAAAAATAATAGCAGAGGCAGAGCAAAGAAATTTTTACCAATTATTCGACCCCAGGTGGCTCCAATTAGGAGGGCGGGAATGAATAGGCCAGCCGGGACTGAGAGTCCGAAGGTGATGCAGGTTATGCCGAAGATGTAGGGCAAAAACAAGTACAAGGAAGCGGGGCCGAAGGAATCAGGAGGATCATGGAAGAGCGCATGGAGTGATTTTTCCGGCGTTGTGAAGACGAGAGCGGCGATGGAGTTGTACTCGTTTTCGGCGCAGGTTAGCTAACGCATAAGGAAAGAGATGAAATAAAAGGGGGGGGGTGAATAGCGGGCTTTTGGAACTCAACCGCCACTCTTTGCTACTCTCCAGGTACATGTAAAGATTGTTTAAATAAAGCAGGGCTCCTAATTCGTGCAACATGTCAGCATTTTCGAAAGATTGATACGCACTCGCTAATCGGCATCGAATAAGGTTGTAATGCTGATTACACTGTAACCTATTCTCAAGTCATCTTAGTCATGACAGGATGCTGGCTTATTAACGGGCCTCCTTCTGATCATTAACAGGACGTATGTACTGATGAAAAATGCCCATTTAAGTAGTTGCATTTTTATCATTGAGTTTGACTTTCTTTATAAATTCAAGCATATTTTATGGTAAGCATGCACGATGAATTTTTTTCTTGTACTCGTTTGGTAGCAAATTACGCTTCCTTTAAATTTTACACTTAAAGAAAGGGTATCCTTCGGTTTTAAATAACTTTCTGAATTGCCGAATAATTTTTATACCTACCGGCTGTTACACCTGCTACACCTACCGACTGCTACAAACTGCGCGCTGTGCACATCATTTTTAGGGAAAAGTACGCTTTTGTCTATGGTTTGAGGAAGAAGTCATAGAGTTCTCATAGAATGTTGCAATAGATGTGGATCACGCTGTACAGATTATAGGCAGCATTAATAAATTGACGGATACGATGTAGTATGAATGAACCCCTCACAATCGTAAAAAAAACGTATGATAAAAAAATTTATAAAACCAAAGGACACCCTTTCTTTAAGTTTAAAATTTAAAGAGGGCGTAATTTTCTACCAAACGAGTACAAGAAAGAATTTTTCGTGCATTCGTTGCATAAAGTATATATTGAGATTTATAAAGGCTGTCAAAATCAATGATAAAAATACATCCTAATTAAGTAGCCATTTTATACAGTGCATACTTCTTGCTAGCGGTCAGAAAAAGCTCGTCAAAATGCCCGCATCCTATCATGAACGAAATGACTTCAGAATTGCCTACACGATAATCAGTACCACAACCTTACTCAATGCCCAGTAGCGAGTGCGTATCAATCTTTCATAAATGTCGGCATGTTGCACGAATTCGGAGCCGTACTGTATATCGGTTGGCCTATTGTGCCTATTTTATACTGATTTTACCCAGTTTTCCTTTTCGAACTACAATAGAGAAGTTATAAGCGGACGACGCTAGCACTGCCTTCAAGAACGTCCAATGTGGCCTGCATATTGAGATATAATCAAGGGCGATTCTTCATGGTGGCGATAGTTGTACTCTTCGGCCATTGTGCACCGTTTATGATCCTTCGACGTTATGTGGTTTGTGTGTAGAATTTTTTTGAGGCTGAATGAAGGACTTCTTGCTGAAATGTCTGGAATGTTCCCAGAAAAAAGCACACATTGCCCCCTGGAGGATCCTAGAGCAATTAGAGTCGTCTACTAGTCTGGCCTTGTCTGTTGGAGTGAGGAAAGAGTGAAACATGAAGGCCAACGGATAAGGACTTGGACTTGAATATCATATAACATTAGTAGCGGTTTTTTATTTGCGAACTTTCTTAAAAAAAATCTGGCCTAAAGGTTGAACTAAGTTATGCAACATGAAGGGGCACACTTGGTGGTTTATAATAAAAGTAGTAATAGACGAGGTTGATTCGTCTGCAGTACAGAAGAATGGGAGCAAACGCCTTGGAATGCAATTGGCATTGTTAGTAAGGGGCGTTTGTAGATTTGAATAATTCATTTGACCCAATTGTGCGTCTGGTGGATTCTAGATTGATTGCTTGGAAAATTATCTTTGGGCAATTAGTTTACTGTATCAGAATTGGTGCATTCAATAATTTGCAGTAGGCTAGGTGGGTAGCTCGATCCAAGTGCGATTAAACTCACGACTCTTCCGGTAGGGCCAAGAACTGTCCGAAATACTGATGTCTTGAAGCCAAACTCCGGGAAACATAAGGTTTGATTTTGATGGTGAGCGTTGTTTCAGTTCGGGATTATGGTTCGGGTTAGTGATAGGGATAGGCTTTAGGGTAAGGTCAAATTAAAGACTAGGGCTACGGTTTAAGTTGATATTAGAGTTAGTATGCAATGCCACGCTTCAGCAAACAATGGCCCCTGCGGCCTGGTTTGCGCTGGCAGATTTCTTGGATCCGATTCCCTCTCGGTATATGCGTTTGCCTTCCTACAAGCCGTTTACGTGGTCGCCCGGTTAATTGTATGTTCTTTCTCTCTCTCTCTTTGATCCAGAAGAGTGAGAACCGGCTGGTTGCGTCGGCGGTGGCTGTGGCTGTCACGCCCTCGTTTTTGTAGTCGCAAGGGTCACTCGGCTAGTCGCTCCGTGCCTATCTTACGAAACTGAC